GTTTTATGCCAGATGCCCTTCCTGACCTAACCCTGATTCAAACCCGTGGCGCAGCAGCATGAGTTACTGTATATGGAAAACACAGGGAAAGACTGCAGAAAGGTAGAATTCTTCTTTAAAACAAATCTTTCCAAATGCGTCTCACATACATCACAGATACCATAAAACAGAGGTAAATACTGATACGGTTATATTTTTTATTGCAGTACCTTGAGGACAGTGATGTTCCAGGTGAAACTCTCCACAGCTTTGCTTTGCTTGCGTCCCTTCAGCCCCTCCTTCTCCCCCAGTCGAGAAAGATCCTCATGAAAGTCCATGCCTGCAAAACACACGCAGGTGCTGTGTGTCAGTTTGGAGAGGTGGTTTCACGTCAACAGTTCAGATTCAGGTAAAATATAACTGTGTCAATGAGAAGATATGATACCACTGTTTGTATTTTCATCTAAATGCCTGCTGTAAGCTGCCATACTGGTGCATTCCACCTGAAACTGCTGAGAATGCAGTGTGTTACCAGTGCAGATTTATTAACAAACATTTCAAGCAGAAACACTGGCTGGTGATTTCCAAAAGCTTAACAATGAGAGAGCCTTTGTTTTGTCCTAATTAGAAATCCACACTGAATAATAGTGGTGAGTGTCAAAATCACCAGTAACTCTTCATTGTAAAGTTGTTTACTGACAGACTCATTCTCAGTCTCCCTCAGATGTTTAATGTTCAACTCACACTTGCTTCTTTGGGATTTTTAATTTCTTAGTTGTTTTAGGATTTGGGCAGATCCTGTACTGAGTGCTCATCAAATCTATTTCTACTTGGTTCACTATCGCCACTCATGTGAGCACCACCCACTGGTCTGCACACTTTACCTTCTCTCTGTACCTGGGCGATCCTCTCCTGAACAGCATCTGCGTTCTCGATGAGCTGTTTCTGGGCAGCAATCATCTGCACAGACAGGGGGAAGGTTTGTGTTTTACTGACACATCATGTTGCATATCAGTGCTGTGAAGCCAAGAACCGTTCAAACCCACAGAAGTACAGTATGTGAAATGATACAAGCAGTGTAGAAGTTTCCAAAGCACCAAATATGCCATGGTGGAACTGATGGAGAAGACAATACAATGGTTTCTTTTGTATAATCGTGCATCAATAAAATATATCAGTTGAATAAAAAAATGTCAATTCATGAAACCATAAACTATTTTAATAATAAGTGTATCACTTGAAGATCCTCTACCTAATGTCTTACAAGCCTAGAGGGTCTAGTGAAATGCAAAACAGACTCCCGCCATAAGCTGCTCCTAACCACTCTGCTACTCCCATCACAGGCGGGTTTCCTAGTGACAAGATGAACTACACATGCCTGGTTGGGACAAACGGTACAAAATGCAGCCTCCAGTCTGAGTCCTCTGGCTGCTTTTAACCCTCTCCATGTCAAACAGCCAAACCCATGTTAACCCTGGTTGTTGCTCTTTCTTTGTCCCACTCTCTCTGTGCAAAAGACGCCACCTCTTCAGCACTGTGGTTACTGCTGATGTTACACAAAGCTCCAGTTACTCCCTAAATAAACTCATATTAATTTAATACAATAGTAAAATCATGACCATGCTAGGTTGCTAATGTTACCAAAACAAACATGTTAGATGCTAACACATCCAGAAGGATGAAGGCCACATCTGGATGCTGGTTCAGACTTTTAGCTGCCCAGAGCTCCTCCATGGCTGTTTGACATGACTACTGGTGGCTGGAAAAACCCTTCTTCTAACCTTGGCTAGGCGGCAGGCGGAGCTAATTTACAGACCGTACTTTGACAACACAGGGTGGAGAAGCTGGAATAACAACAGGAGGCTGTAGGCAGCAGAGGGTCATGGAGGGGGGGTGTAGCTGAGAGACACCATGTCCTGTCCCACTGTCACTGGGTTTGTCAGACACTGTGGGAGATCTTGGTAGATTAAGTGCTTTTCTCTGTTATAACACATAAATTGAATATTTATAATAATATTTGCCATGCTGGTCTGATAAATCAACACCACACACATTGTACCATGGTGGCAGGACATAAACTCTAAGTAGCAATATAGAAATTAGTTCAAAATCAAAAGGACAGCGAGAATTTATTTGAATACTAAGTTGAAAAGCACCACAAAGCACAAAAAGTTTCTTAAATAAAAACAGGCAGACATGGTAAAGAGGAGTGTGTGATGACTAAGCTGTGTGTGCGTCTGTGTCCAGAAAGAGGTGTGATGTATGACTTCAGATTACACCAACTGTGGCTCCATGACACTGACCTACTGAGCTCACATTTGCAGAGTTCACACTCAAATATCATCAGCTTCACTGACATGCAAACCACAAAGTGATGGTTAGAGGGTAAAAGTAGGTATGTGTAGGTTTAACAGCTGAACTCGGGTTGGGAGAGATTCACCCTGGTCTGATGCAAGAGGAGCTCGAGTAGGAGGAGACGCATCTGGCAGTCAGAGGGTGTGTGCAGTGTGTGTGTGGGTGACTGTTTTATACATGCCACCACAGACTGTCTGCATATTTAATGCCTTAGGACAGTGTGATTGCCTGCTGGTGTGTGTGTGTGCGTATCCACTCAGCTATGGAGCATTGGGTACCAGAAACCAAAACAGCAAACTTTAAACAATCTTCTGATGCAAGTAATTTTGACTGGTTTGAACCTATGAGTAAATACACCTAATGAGTAGTGGTGGAATAAATATTCTAATCATTTACTGAAGTAAAAGCACCAATACCATATCAAAAATATTCAATACAAGTAGAGAAGTATTATCAAAATGTACTTAAAGTATCAAAAGTTAAAGTAAGTATGCAGGATGGCTTCAGTCTTTATGACATCATTATGGTATTACTGAGGTAATAATATGTATAAGTGCTACTTTAAAATATTGATTTATCAGGTCTCTCTTTAAAAATATAACACAACTAGGTTAGTGAAACAATATGCATATTCATTAACACTGGTGGAAAGTGAGTACATTTACTTAAGTGCTGTACGATTTTGAGGTACTTGTGATTAGTATTTCCATTTTCTGATACTTCTACTCTGCTACATTTATTTAACAACTGTAGTTCAGTTAGTACAATTACAGATGAACTTTGTAGATAATAACAAATGATTAGCTTGTGAAATATGATGCATTATTATAAATTAAATTACCCCACAGTCAGTTTAGTTAAACTTAGCTCTGCCTCGACCAATTGCAACCTTAATCCTGTAAGACGACGACTAGTTTTAGCTCCACCGGCTCTAAATTCAGCAGTGGTGTCCAGTTGTCACAGAGTAGATGAACAGTACTTTATGAAGTTTACAAATTTAACTTCCTAAACCATGAAGGAAAAAACTTGTAAAAATGATACCTGCTAAACAGTTTAGTTTGTTTCACTCAGCTCCATTCATTACTACTGAAGATGTAAACTGGGTCACAAAGACATCTGTACTGTATTTTTTTATACATATATATATATCCTAAAAAAGGCTCATTCATTTCTTTCAGCAGCTAGGCACTGTAGTTTTTAGGAAACACTACTCAAAACACTAGATCAAATGTTTACCCTCCGTCCCCAACATCTTCATTTGACTGACCGTGTCGTAGGCGCTGAGCAGCTTGCGTGTCGGCTCTGACAGGTTGACCAGGGGCTCCAGACATGGGTAGCCCTCCTTCAGCACCATGGTGGCCCCCATAGTGCCCTCTGGGCTCTGCAGTCTGGTGGCCAGGCTTTGGATGCACTGCTTCAGTTTGGCCACCATGGGGAGCCCACACTGTTCGATGAAACTGGTGGTGGTGCTCTGGAAAGCAAAAGGCAGAGAGATAAGGAGAGGGAAGATGAGGAAAAAAAAACATTATCAGATCAGATGTACAGTTCCAGCTGTAAGAACACTAAGCTGGGAGAGGTCAAAAAGGATGACACAGCCCATACACACACACTTTCTCTGCTCTCCCCTGTCAGTTGCTGTCTCTCTTATGAACCAAATAAATATGGCGGTCACTGCTCCAGTGAAATCTGCCTTAGCTCTTAAGCATGTTTTGCAAAAAAGAAAGAGAAGACAATATGGCATAAATCCGGAACAGAAAAATCACAGCATTTACTGTGTTTTTCAGTTGCAGGTGTGTCTGAATGCAAACCCAGATTGGTTTGCACATTTAACAGGCAGAAAGAAGAGGAGACCAGCGTGAATCTGCTGAAATGAAATTGTGGGTCACTTCAAAACGAAGGTAAAAGATTTATTTTTGCACATACAAGACCTAGAATAAAAAAAAAACCTCTGTCTAAGTGAAGGCTGTTGCCAACTACCAGAGCTGCAAATGGACCAGTGATTATCATGCCCTGCCTATGTGGAAGTGTGTCTGCATGTCTGCAACAGAGGCATGATGAATAATGACTACAGTAACTGTGGCAGATGAGGCCACAGCTGGACTCAAGGCAAAGACCAAGAGAAGGGCAAAGTTCATGTCTCCCAATTGAGACTTTGCTACACAGTTTCTAATGAGGAGGCACAAGTAGGGAAATTACATTATTGGAAGTATCTTTATTTGTCCAGTGATCAAATTCACCTTTTGATTATTTAATCCAAAAATCTACATTGCATAGCCAAAACTACATGGACTCTACTGAATTTGTACGTCTTATTACAAGAGCACGAGCATTAAAGAACAGTGTGAGCCTGCAACAAACTGCAGACAGCTACTGATTTGCACTACCAGCAGTAAGATTAACATTCATTTAGAGTTACGTTGCTGCACCAGTTGTTCCTCTGTTTTAGCTTTGTGTTTGGTCTCCTCCACCTCCTGAGGGAAATCTCTGGCTCACTAGCTACTATGTTTGCCAGCTAATGACCGACTGCGTCTGTCTGCTGACTAACTATCCACACCCTGAGTCCAGCTCGGTATGTAGCAGACAGAAATAAGAGTATTACCAGTCTTCTCATGTAATACTAGTGTGCAATAATAAGTGTACCGTACTACACTTATTTCCCAAAATGTCGATCAAGTCATACAATACTGTATTCTGCTATAACAGCCCTCACTTGTCAGTGAAGCCTGCAGGGCTTCAGCCACAAGAGCATCAGTGAGTTTGTGTGGGGATCCTGGGTACTAAGTCTGGTTCCAGTTCCTCTCAAAGGTGATGGATGGGACTGAGATCTGGACTCTGTGCAGGCCAGTCATGTTCTTCCACACCACACTGGGAAACCATTTGTTATGAACCTTTGCTTTGGGGCAAATGACAGTCGGGGCAAAAAGGTAGTGGTGTCCACATATTTTTGGCTATATAGTGTATCTTTATGTCCTAATATATAGCTCTAAAAACACATACACTGCAAAAGAGGATTATATTGCCATTGCCCACCCACAGATATTATGCTGAGCAGTAAGCTGGTGGGCGCTGTGCGACCAGGTTTTATTTCTGCCGGTATTTAAAGGTTCTGTATAATCCTCCTCCACTCTTCTTTTGCGGCTGCCTCTCCTCCTCTGTTTTATTCAGCCTACACAGAAGTCTCAGGCAGAGTCTGATTTCAGCACCGTAATGTAAGCTAGTCCACTCCACCCTCATAACCAGACCTCTGTTCACCGCAGCCTAAACGAAAAAACCCTAAGTGGCACCTGATTGGCTGTAACTCAGCTGTTTCCTTGTCTCTGACAGGAGCTTTGCCACATACGATGCCCAAGTGTTTGGTTTTACTTTGGTCAGCCTAAAGAGGTCAGTTCACCAAAATGGCAGAGAAATATGTTCTCACAAATCTCTAGGGATCTCCAGGGAAAACAGTTTTGGATGTATGTGCTGAGATTTCTTTTATCCCAGTATATACCAGTACAATGAAAGATGATGAGCTCTCTGTCCTGATTACTCTGGATAATCCAAAACCCTCACCGTGAAAAGTTTTCATTTTCATTTTCTTTCTTCCAAAAATGAAATGAAAAGGAGGTCTGTGGATTATCCAGTGGATTAGGTACATCTCCCCAGAGGGCAGCTGTTTAAAAACACAACTCTCTTCCTTGTAACATTCAACTCGCAATGTACAAGTGCTGATTTCAGCAAAAACTAAAACTATGATGGTGCTGCAGTGCCTCATGAAGGCAATTAAGGTAGTTTTAGCAGCAAAATGAGACAATTTAATGTTTTTTCCCCTGTTCATAGAGAAAGCAAAGCCATTTTCACTTAGCGTCACTCATACGAACATGAGCCGTGGTTATTTTGTGCAAGCAGCCAATTTAAAGCCCATGAAACATCACTCCTGGTGGTGTTTAGCAGAGGACGTCTCACTGTTCACTAACAGTCTAATGACTCCTTGTGAGGACAGTGTAGGGGTGACACCACAGGGGCGTACTTGTCTTGATTTTTTCCACAGTGTCCACAGTGACGCAGACTTTGAAAATCCCTGCTACACAAAGACAAAACCATGAGTTAGTGTTATTTCAATGACTGGGGTAAATTGACCATTTATGTAAAGTAGGACTATTAACTGGAGCTGGAGGTCAAACTAAGGGCAAAGCCAGCAAAGCTCAAAAGTAATATGCAATTTTCCTCAGGTGCAAGTCTATTTTGTTTTGCATATTGGTGTGTTCTTCTGTCATGAATGAATGAATGCACTTACACGGAGGTGCTGATTAGGCAGCGCAGTGAAATTGATGCTGCTCAGACCACTTTTTATTGTAGTCGCAGGTGCACTGCAATTTTCCTGTCAACAGTCTCGACTGGGAAACATAAAGAGCCAAATGTATTTTAATGTCCACGCCAACTTAAAATAGATCCTTTGTCTGAACTCACTGTGAATAATTTATTGTGAAATTATCTGAATTTCAAAACGTGTGTGATCATTTAGAAATAGACTAGCCCTCAGCATGTGGCTATAGATATGAATATGGTCAGACGGGGTTGGTGTGCGTCAGGTAGCACCCTCTGTCCTTAGAGCGTGAGCAGATTTACTGTATTTAATTGCTGCTGGTTACAGCACCAGAGACTTTCTTCTTACACAAAAGCATTTCTCATCACAGTTTAGGAATGGAGTACATGATTGGTAGAAGAACAGATACAGGCAAAGAATCTTCATTACATCTAATGTTTCTGTAGATGCAGTCATGACGACTCAGCATCTCACTGACAGTATCAGGTTCCTCCTGTGAAAACTTTCTCTGACAGAGCGTCTCCAGATCAGCCATCATGACATCAGCCCTGACTCCACCTGGTCATGATGCATTCCTCCCACTAATAATATGCTCCACCTCTCCTCCATGTCGCACCTGAACTGCAAAGAACTGTTGGACACACCCACGTGTGCCTTCACCTGGTGTGTGGACGTGGTTTGCCTCTGCCCTATTTCAGGAAATTAAAGCCCAGTGTACTTAGTCAGTGGCCTGACAGTTCCATCCCATGTCCCCTCTCACCTGAGCATCCTCCCGCAGGTCTGTCGCCTCCTTGATGGGGGCACCTGCCAGTTTGAACGCCTCATCCACCACCTTGATGCCAGTGTGTCTTAGTGTGACGTACTCCCGGCCCCGTCTTCCCACCCTCCTCACTGACAGACCTCGGCGCTGGGCCTTCCCACCTCCTCGCCGGTTGGTGACCGCCACGTGTACAAACAGACTGGTATGGGGTAAGGGATCTCCAGCCAGGCCCAGCAGGGGTACGTTACGGTAGCCAGGCTGAAGGCACTCAAAGGCCACGCTGTACTGGCCGATGAAGTCATCTCCAATGTAGTCGTCGTCTAATACCACGAAGCGCAGCAAGGCCAGCTCTGGCATGTTTACCTGGAGACAAGACGTGAACAGCGGAGTTGAAATCCATTCATACTGTGAGTACAATAATAAACCCATGGCTAATGCATATTTCACAGTGTGCTGACCAACATCAACACCTTAGCTGAACACTGGGAGTTTGTCAGAACCTATTCTGTTTCTTATTAACATGCGGCACTGATTGTTTGTTGTTAAGTTATGTGAGTAAGAAAAAACACTAAATATGTAAAGAACAAAAACCATTAGTTATTATCACAAAAGCTGCTCTCATAATGACAAGGTAATAAGATTATTACCGTAACCATGAAGACAAAGTAGTTATTTTAACCCCAACCTTTCTCTAAACCTGAGTTGACCACACCTTGACCATAGCACTGTCACATCAGTTTTTCTTGAGCCACTGACCTTAGGACACAAGCTTCTCTAACCTTTAGGACACTGATTCAGAATCACTGAAGGGGTAGTAATTTAACTTTTAACTACTACTGCTTTTTAACAGTTTTTCTGTGGCGCATTTCCTGCCGCTGCAGCGGTGATAGCTGACAAAACACTGCTATGAGGCATTTCAGAGTGTAGCAGCTGCTCTCTCACTGTGTCTGTCTGCTGTTTGCTGCTGGACCAGTAGTGAACAACGAGTTTACCAGACCTTTTTCACTAAGGACACACAAATGAGATCAGTGGGAGTGAATCAGTACCACCAGGTTGCAGGGTAACACCAAAAGAACCAAAACTGTCATAAAGCTCTGTGAGTTTGCCACTGCTAGCAACCCTTATCACATTCATCATTATACTGGTAAATGCTCATTTAAGTTCTCTGTGCTAGTCCCAATACAGAAATACAGTTTGTTTACAGCTCAGCAGCTGTTTAGTGCTGCTAAAAACAACCTGCTTTTCCTCTGAATTCCCTGGAAGACCTGTAATTTACATGTCGGAATGCACAGTGCTTAAACTGAATTCATTAGAACAACCAGTGGTCAGTGAAGGCATGGCAGGCGGTCCCTGACCATGTGTTGAATAATGTAGCTCCAATGAAGGAATCTTTTGTTTAAGTTTTTAACACACAATTACATGTATTAGTTATTGTTTGTAAATATTTTTAATTAATGAAAATATGTATCATTTCAAAAAGGCACGGTGACCTTCAAGATTAAAATAGTGCCCATCTGGTGTAGCCAACCCACAACAGTGGTCCTCAGGTTACTCCTTAGTCAGAATGGTGAACCCTGGGTCACATTTGGTTGAAAACCCCTGCACTAGAATGCCAAATGGTCTCTGACTATCCAGGCAAAAGTTAAATGTTCTTGTCGACACGCAGCGTTTAAATGCCTCTGTATGCTAGTTGTCTGCTCTTGAGTTAGAATCTGCTCTTTTTTTTTAGATGTACTTCATTAGACATTTACCAATGGTGAAAGATGATCACCAAATCAGAATATACAAGCACAGTTTCCTGCTTTAAGTTCCACTCGTGGAGCTGTTCAGGCATAGGGTTGTGTTAATTACATGGTGCAATGAAAGGAGCATTCTGGGTGGAAATGCTGTTCGAAACATTACATTTCAGATCACACCTTCCCCTCGGCTAACAAGGCATTAAAAACACCCAGATGTAAGCACAGAGTCACACATAGACAAGAATATGCACACACACAGACTTGCAGAGTAAGCAGGAGGTCAAATGAGGCTGTAAGTGTGTCTTTGCATATTCATTGTGTGCAGATGAACAGAGGATAAACAAATTTCACAATAAAGCGCTGTTGGTTACTTTCTATGTTTTTCTCTCTAAGTCTGAAGCAGTCACAAAATGGATGGAGATCTGGGGCAAAGACAAAAAAACAAAAAACAGCAGGATGGGTTTTTAATTTAGTTCAGGTTTATGTTCATCCAACTCGGTGGTTTTGTCCCAGTTCATGGGCCCCGGTCTGTGAGGTGGAGGGTGGACAGAAACTTAGAACTCATGATCAGGTTCATGTAGGGTTTGGTCACATAGGCAGGTCAAACTTTAGGCTAAAAAGTGTAAATGCAGTTGTAAATACTTGTACTATAAAACAAACTACACCAAACAAAATTATAAACACAACACTTTTGTGTTTGCCCCCATTTTTCATGAGTTGAACTCAAAGATCTACAATGGCTGTGAGAAGTTGCTGGATATTGGCAGGAAGTGGAACACACTGTCGTATACGCCGATCCAGAGCATCCCAAACATGCTCAACGGGTGACATGTCTGGTGAGTATGCTGGCCATGCAAGAACTGGGATGTTTTTAGCTTCCAGGAATTGTGTACAGACCCTTGCAACATGGGGCCGTGCATTATCATGCTGCAACATGAGGTGATGGTCGTGGATGAATGACACAACAATGGGCCTCAGGATCTCGTCACAATATCTCTGTGCATTCAAAATGCCATCAATAAAATGCACCTGTGTTCGTTGTCCATAACATACACCTGCCCATACCTTAACCCCACCGCCACCATGGGCCATGATCCACAACGTTGACATCAGCAAACTGCTCACCCACACGATGCCATACACGCTGTCTGCCATCTGCCCTGTACAGTGAAAACTGGGATTCATCCGTGAAGAGAACACCTCTCCAAAGTGCCAGACACCAACGAATGTGAGCATTTGCCCACTCAAGTCGGTTACGACGACGAACTGCAGTCAGGTCGAGACCACGATGAGGACGACGAGCATGGGGATGAGCTTCCCTGAGACGGTTTCTGGTGTGGTTACACGTGATCTGAGGTTGTGAGGCCGGTTGGATGTACTGCCAAATTCTCTGAAATGCCTTCGGAGACAGCTTATGGTAGAGAAATGAACATTCACTTCACGGGCAACAGCTGTGGTGGACATTCCTGCAGTCAGCATGCCAATTACACGCTCTGTAAAAACCTGTGACATCTGTGGCATTGTGCTCTGTGATAAAACTGTACATTTTAGAGTGGCCTTTTATTGTGGCCAGCCTAAGGCGCACCTGTGCAATAATCATGCTGTCTAATCAGCACCTTTGGGGCGTGGCTGTGGCTCAGGAGGTAGAGCGGGTCATTTCCTAACCGGAGGATTAGCGGTTCGATTCCCGGCTTGTCCAGTCAACATGTCGAGGTGTCCTTGAGCAACACACTGAACCCCCAGTTGCTCCCGGTGATGTCACCGGTGTGTGAATGCTGCGAATGGGTGAATGGCCGAATAATGTGAAAGCGCTTTGAGTGTGCTGTAAAAAGCATAGAAAGGCGATGTACAAATATAAGACCATTTACCTGCATTTGTTGTGTTTCTCCACTCATTTATTCAGGTTTGTCCTTTAATTTACCCCTCTATGTAGACAGAGGAGCAGAAAACAGGTCTGAGAACAATTAGACTGGGCTGCGTGCTGAGGCTGTGCACCCTGTGTGTGTGTGTGTGTGTCTGCTCCCATGAGCTCTGATTGGTGGAAAGAAAATCTGTTGCATGCATGGGTGAGCCAGACGGGTAGCTCCAGTAGACTGTGTGTGTGTGTGTGTGTGTGTGTGTAGTCCTGTTTGCTCTGGTCTCTATGCTCTGTTTCAGTCTTTCTGCAACAAGCCTGTGGTGGAGCAGAGCAGCTCTGTGACAGTTAATTCAATCGGTTTCTGACCAACTGCTCATCTGACCAGACAGGCAATGAGGCACAGAGGACATTATCTCAGACTTAATCTCTATTCTTACACTTTCTTATGTTGCAATCAAGTCACAGTTCAGTATGAGGGCCAATACTGCATTCATGTGGCTTGTGGCTGTAAATTTGAAATAAAAATGTGTTTTCAAACTTAACCAGATCACTCTCCTGAGTTGAATGAAAAATGACCGAATCTCTTATATTAAAAAAAGCTTTTTTTTGCAAATGGTTCTTTATTTACATCGTAGAAGCGGAAGAAGAAAAACAGCGGGCTTAAGTGGCTCAGCCATGAAAAAAACAAAATGAGCTTTTCAGAAGGTCAATGACAGTTCAAATTGGTAATGTATTGTAATTTAAGTGCTAAAAAGAGCACTCCACCACTTTTAAACTGTCCACTCATAATGGTCGAATTAAAACAAAAATGATAAAATCAGTGCAGTAGAACAAAATAGACCTCCCACTGTACCACATTCTTCTTCTTCATTAAAACCTGTTGCCTACAATAACCACCATGCAACTTGACCTCCAACAGCTCAGTTACATTCAGGTTGTTGTTCTAGAAGCAGCTAATGTAGCCTGGGCTCCAGCAGGGATGAGGAGCTAGAGCGGCCTGATGACACCACTTCCTTCTAACTCCGCTCACTCATCAACGCTGGATTCCTCCGGAGCACAGTACGTGGTTTTTTTTTTTTGACTGTTTGAGGCCAGTGTGTCTGCTACACGTGATGTGTGGCTGGTTAACGTGCAGATTAATGATCCATGATGTTATTGCCGGCACTAGATCTTCCTAAGAAAGTGACAACAGCGTATACTCCCAGCAGAATATGGTAGAACTATAATGGAAAATAATATCATTAGTTTACATGAGATCTTACTGTTTTTTTTTTTTTTTGCAATTACATGAACAAAGCAACATAATGAAATGTAAGTAGTGGATGATGACATCAGACATTTTTTTCACAGCTCTAATATTGTAGCTTATTCTTCTAAGTCTGTTCTCTCCCCACGACTTCGATGCATTAAACCATTAAGTATTAATCACAGAGGCACATTTTAACTGATAATATTACTCTTCCACACTGTTGTGGTGTGTACAACTGACTGGAACTGTTTGTGTGTGTGAGCCTACAGGACAAATGATTAAGACGTGTGAGTCTCAAACATGCCTGTTTGTGTGTACGTACTGTGTGTCTTTCCATGAGGCACGTGTGACATGGTGCACTGCGCTCCAGTGCCCCTTTGGCCTTGGGTTACGATCCACGGGGACACAAAGAAATCACAGAGCCGAGACTTGGTCCTCAATAAAGCTGAGCAGACACTGCTTGTTTTGCATGTTCTGTTAACTCATGCCACACAATGTAATCTGCTTTTCCAAAGAACAAAGCCAGGACCAATGGGTTTTATGCCCACACTGAACATAAGCACGCAACCCTCAGTCATTTTTTGACAACTCTAATAAAGCTTACACAAACAAGACAACCGTGTCCTCAGTATTGATAAAAACAGAGAAAAGCTGTGAAACATTTTTGTACTGCTAGAAACTGAAAGTAAGGAGAAAAAGGAGAAATGAGAAGTGGCAGATGGATGACAGATCCACACAATATGGTCCATCTGCTTTGCAGTCGAGACTGCGTTTAACCACAACATGTAAAATACAACTTCACTAACATTATAAGAAGCTCACTACAGTTCTGAACACACGTTTTGACAGCTGTCATGAGGAAACTCAGACTGTGGACCTGCTCAAACCACAAAAAGCGACAAATATTTCTGACATGCCATAAATCCAACCAATGGCAAGAAACCAGGCACCGAGACCCGCCTCAAACATCAGGTCAGGCCACGACTGCTCTGCAGAAATGCAGCCACTCAGGGGGTGAAACTGGGCTTAATCCCTACAGTGTCTGTCCAGTGTAAAACTCTTCCTCCCCTCTAATCACTAATAACACTCGATTGAACAACAAGGTGAAATGCTTCTCTTCATAGCACTAGTCCAGGTAAGGATATGAGGGTGATTTCATGCCCAACCACTTTACTACTGGGACCATTTCACATCGTGGTTTCGGCCTGTATGTGTGGTGAGATAACCCAGCAGACCAACATGTTCAAAAGCTGCTCTACATGAATTTACTTCATTTTCATGTGCTGCATATGGACACTGTCAGGGAGGTGACGCCGCCCACCCACTCTTTGTCTCATGTGCAGTTTAGTCTTGTAACTTCTGGCTGCTGTAGTAAAATAAAATGGTGCCATCCTGGTCGCTCCATTTATTAAAGCTAGGAACACATGTCCACATGTTCCAGAAGTTCATATGTACTCACACAATCTCATTTACCACAAACTAGGATTACTGTGTCATAGTTTAACGCCTCTGCCAACCAGTCAGATTCACAGGAATGGGACAAACATGAAAACACGGTGAACTTTGACCTTCGGTCACCAAAATCTGAGCAGTTCTTCCTTGAATCCAAGCGGATGTTTGTGCCAAATTTGAAGAAACTCCTTCAAGGTGTTCCTGAGATATCACCTTCATGAGAATGGGACAGACAGACAACCTGAAAACACGATGCAGAAATAAAACTAGTAGTCACTGCACCCTGTTTGACAGCAGTCACACACAAGACGTCTTGTTTCTGTCCTCTGCTTAAAGCTGTCTGTCAGTCTGGTGGTAGATGATGTCCTGCTGCAGACTGGGTATATCCTGACACACTAACTCTCACTGTGAGCACCAGAGAAGATAAATGATGTCACCAGAATGAGCTTTGTTCTATTTTCTCCATCTGAGTCATACTGAGGACAAGACTCCATTGACTTATGTTAACAGCTGTTTATATGTAAACACAAACCTACAATAGGCTGGCAACAAGAAGGTGAAACTAAATATATTTTCAAAACTGTGAAATGGTTACATCAGTGACTCGCTAATTGTACATTTGCATTCTGTGTCAGACAGAATAATCAAACATTCAAACTGAAGTTTATGTTTCTCCTGCAAAGAACCAGCTACAGTCAAATATTCTTTTGATTTCAGGTGTAACACAAGTTCTTCTGAAGGTACATTATGTATGTGTGCTCAGGCGGCGAGCAGTATGCAAACACACACACACACACACACACACATATACGACGTGAGCACAGAGAACATATCAGTTGTGATAGTTTGTCATTACAGCTCATCCACACTAATACAAGACTCAGTGATGGGTAAAAAAAGCCAAACCACGGTAATCTTTAAACTTCGTCTCATGTAATAAATTCACTGCATACACGAGCGTGTTCATGGGAGCATTTCGTTTAACTCTTAAAGGTCTTGACCCCCCCACACACACACACATTTAAGCACTCAGGACTCTAATTTCATGCAGGTAAAAAACCGACAGAAGCACAACGTCATCACACAGAGACCTCTTCACCATAACACAAGCCTCTTTTATCTTGTTGACATTTTTTTCTTTCATATAAATGCTTAATCTGCTACACTTTAAAATGTAAATCAGAGTCTGCACTTGGTGAGATTAATAGATGATTTAACAATAACATCCATAAATGCTTCACAGACAACAACAGGTTGTAGTAAAATAAGTGCATCGACTCCTGTGCCTCTTCTCTTTTGATACAGGAGGAGACACCCGAGTGCACAGATATAACAACAGCTGTTTCCTTTAAGAAAAACACCAAGAAACAAATTTCTCTAGAAATTAAAATCATATTTTTGGGCCTGTGACCAGGATTACTAGGGGGAGCTGTCATGCAGTTATGTAAATGGTTTCAACAGGCTATTTGCTCTAAGGGCATGTAAACACACTAAAATACAATATGTGAATGCAACCTTTAAAACATGCAGCCTACTTGTACAGATTTGACTTTGTGCAGGTTATGAATGACATAACATTATTTAGTCAAGAGGTTTTGCACTTTTAGTTTTATTTGCTTTATTTCAGCAGTGTACCCTAACACTTAGGGGAGCTATGTTTGTGCTTTGTGACGACACCTCCCCATACAAACAGTGGCACAGTATTTGAGGAGAAGCTGGAGTGCGTTCCTCTCTGGGCCCATTAGGAAAATATTTGCTTCTTTTAAATGGGAATATGTGAACCAAAGTCCACCTACTAGGGTTAACACCACTGAATTTGGTTTTGATCCAAAAACAACGAATCCCAGGCTTGGATCATTGGTATCAAAATCAAACCAACCTGCAGCTACTGTGCCATCATGGAAGGCAGAAGAATATGTCATGATTAATGAGATGAGTGCAGCATTAATAGACCACTTCTGAATATATTTGAATTAGCACCAAACATGAGGCATTTCCCCTGTTCTCAGTAATTAGTAAATCACATGCATGTTTGAGCACAAGTCTGGACTATTTAAATGGTAAATAAATGTTCAGAATGTGAATTCTCAGAACTGAGGAGGTGAAGACTGTGCACCAGCCCACGCACACAGGAGCAGCATCAAGAGCCCAGGAGGGGACTGGACACCTGATGGATTCATTATATTGTATCGATCCTAGAGATGCTCCATACTCAAAACAAGGCTGTGTAGATACTGTCGGGATCAATCCACCTACCCATAACAGAGCCCTCTTAATGATAGTGTTTTTTAAAGCTGTGTCATGACCTATTCATGAGTGCACACTGGGGTGTCAGCTGTGATTGAAGCTTTGTAAATAGCCAACCATGTCATGAGAGCATGTAGAGTAATAACATGCCTTACTTGAAACTCAAAGGTCTCATCAAATAGCGGGTCGTCCTGGTTCTGAGCAGCAGTGCGCGTCCTCTGTTCAGCACAGTCCGCTGGCACACCATGCAGCTCCAGAACCACATACGGGTCAATGACCTCTCCTTTGGCCCCGGACCCCTGAGGTTTGGGCAGGTTATGGGCACTGATAACCTGCATGGCAAAACACAAAGCAGCCCATGTTCAGCTCATCACTTAGTAGATATTTGAATAATATATTGAAGAGAAATTTATTTGAAATCAAATTACCCTCAGTTAAAGAATAGGTCTGACTTAAAACAATACTCACATGCCTGTAGCAGCTAAAGAACACCATGATCATGTTTTTACAATGAGAATGAGACATTTGAAAACAAGAACTATGACAAAATGTTTTCATCAACAAATAAAAACTACGTAGATGGATGGACATGAGGTAATGACGCCTTTAATGCAAAGTCTGCAGCATCTGTGGACTCACAAACTGCAGCTCCTAATCAGTCAAACCAAAATGTCTCTTGTTCAGATGTTGATTTAGCTGCTTGACCTGTTGCACAGCTGCTAATAAGAAACATCTTACACTCGGTAAACGTTCTGACTCTGTCAGCTGGCGTTAGTACCTCATGGAAGAAACAGAGTTATGAGCTAAATTCATCTACAGCTGACTGGGAATTAGACAAGAAGACACACAAACAGTTGAGACAGGCTTTAACAATGTGGCTCAGAAAAGAAAACCGCATCATGTGTGTAACGAAATGAAACATGCACTTTCCAGCAGCAGCCTCTGTGTGGACCAGTCCACACGATATATGGGTGATGTTTATGCAAAATTTTAATCCGAGAAGTAAAGTTGTCAAATGCTATGGAGTACAAAGTACAACGTCTTGCAAAGACATGTAGTGGAGGAGAAGTAACAAGTAGCATAAACTGAAATGTACATTGTTATAAACTAAACTTAAGAATGCATGGAGGAGTTACTACAGTGGTTTTAAGGTAGATATGAAAAATTGTGTAAATGTCCTTTAAAGAAAAAGCTTCAGAACAAACCCACACCTTAATCCGTAGAGTATGGGGTGGCACTCCTGGCACACATCCCTGCGTGTGGGCGCTGAAGTAGGACACCTCATCCGTCATTACAGCAGGGCGCAGAACATACCCACATCCTCCATTCTGTAAGAAGCGACCGCGGTGAAGGTCCAGCATGGCACCGGGGGTCTGCTGGTTCAAGGCTACGAGCTGGACCCCTCCTTTCCAGTATCCTTGTGGATTAGGGTTGCTGGAGTCCAGACGCACTGAGCTGGGTCGTACCCTGGTTAGGGTGCGCTTGGTGAACATAACCAGGTCTTCTGGGCTCTCACTGGTCAGCCGCCCGGCCTCTCCCTCACCCAGGGAACACAGTGTCCAGTAAGGTGGCTCGGGAGGCATCGGTGTGCTGGGAGACGAGGGACTGCTTGGGGGGGACTGCTGCTGAGCCTGTTTGTGACAGGGTCTTTGGGCATCTGCCGGTGCGAGCGATCGCCACCAGGTCTGACAGCTTTTTGCTGAGGCACAGCTTCCTGGGTTGAGAGGGTGGAGGCACCACCAAGACGACACCCAGTTCTTCCTCACCAGGGATGGTCATTCGTCGCCCTGCCAGTGGCCCTCCTCCTCCGATCTCCTCATCCTCCTCAGACACCTCCCCATCAGAGCCTTCCTGCTCTGGAGGGAGCCTCTTCGCTACTATAAGGATGCGCCCCTTCAGCTGCTCTGGCGAGGGCAGGGTGGTGGCTCGCCCTCCCAGGCTGACAGGTAGGCCCTCTGAAGTGTAAAGACAGGAGCCAAACACTTTCTTTAGGTGCTGTGCCAGGGTGCGCTGCTGGGCAGGAGAGCAACGCTGGCACAGGTACACCAAGAGAGGATACTGAGACGTGAGGAAGGCGTACTTATTGACTACCTCCAGAGCAGAGCGGATAGTGACAGGTGCATGGTTCTGATGATGGTGGTGATGGTGGCGGGGGATGTCTGCACCATAGTCGACACCAAGAAGAGGCTCCCCCTCTGGGCCATCAGTCACACCCAGCTCCAGGCACCGACAGCCGGACTGCAGGGCCTTGATCAGCCCTCCTATGTCTGCTCTGCCGTGGACCTGGTCATCCAGCAGGTAGGAGCGGTACGAGGTGCTGAGGAAACAACCAGCAGCATCAAAACATGCACTAATGCAAATAATGACCTGGTTTTATAGTATTAACAGCAAGTAATGGCAGCTAGAAATATCTGAACTCTTGCACAATATCAGGTTGGAGGACAGGACACGCACAGATCAAAGGGAGTGTAAATAACAACAGTTAAAGGCACATTTCAACCCAAAGTGAAAATATTAACACAGTCCACTTCCATGTTGTTTGACATGTGCTGCTAAGCCAACTGTCTCCGCTGTCAGTCAAAAAAAGACATCAAATGACCTAATATGTTTGGTAGTGTGGCACCATATGTCAAATTGAATGTGTATATCTGCCTCAGATGTTTGTGCTGTTAGTGGCAGGGGGTAAGCAGAACCATCTGTCAGACAAGCAGACAGCCGTTCTTAAAACTGGAGCTGTCGAGTGTATTTATTAGGAGACAGTCGACTATGTATAGACATTTGGGAAAAGGGCAACAGTCTGGCTGACAACTGACCACATGTGGCAACATGTAAGTGGACTTTGACAGACATCTGGATTTTTTCTGAGCATCTAACACAGTTAGATAAGCAGTTTACAATAGAGGTGGCAGAATTCAATTTTGCACAGAAGGGAACAGACAAGGCAGAGGGGCATCAGCCACGACTGGGCCGAACACATTGTTAATGGCTTATTGTGTAATGTTTCAGGTGATTTGTTGTGAAGTTAGAATCCTGTACAAAGGTCCTAACTATGTACTTGATGGCTGAATTTGATCATATTTAAGGTTTTAGGCTACGACTCCATGTTCCAGGTAAGAAGTCGTCGTCCTTGCTGGCTGTAGGAATGAAATGAATGAAAGAGAGTTGGTCTTGTCCTGCAGTGTGTGGCTAGTTAGTCCTTAGTATTATCAGTATGATATGGAACACGTGTAACACTGTACTGCACCCACGAATGTTAGATCCATACTAAACTGTTTTTTAACCTTTATTTATTCAGGGATGCCCTGGTCACATTCACAGGCTGCTGAGTACAACCACACACTGAGCAGCTCCAGCAGAGCAGTTTAGAGTTAAGGGCACCACAGTGGTGTTAATGAGGGTGCAGCAAGCACAGCTTTGTGCTGCTGGTCCACAGATTGAATCTGTGACTTTCCAGTGCAGTTCTCCAACCTTCAGGCCACCATCAGAGAAAAAGCTTATAAGGTGAGGACGAACATGTTTGATGAACACAATTCTGAACACAAACTCTGGCTAAGGTTTCTGGAGCATTAACTTCCTCGGAGCTGAGAAATGTAAAGCAACAGTGATTTTCTAGCTTCCAGGCCCAGCTTTCACACAGTGGGGCCATAGTGAACCTTTTTGTAACATAACCTGTGATCCCACAGAAATATGGAGCCAGTATGTAAAGCCCTTGGCCTTACTACTCTATTAAACTCGATGGACAAACATGCTCTTTAACTTTAGGTTTTGGAAAGGCAAAAGAAAAAGACACCCAAATCCAGAGCTTGACCATTTACGTCAATGTTACTGTGATACAGACTTACTTACTGTATGTTGACAGTTGTATGAATGACATGAGTATAACAGAATGGTGTTCTCACCTGATGTAGTAGTGCGACAGAGGCATATTCATGTCCTGACAAACCCCCAGATGCTCAGGGTCAAGCAGCTGGCACTCGGGGGACTGCAGGTAGCGGGCGAATCCGTCCAGACCCAGCAGCCCTCTCTCCCTGCCCTGGGCTGAGGGCTCGTAGCGCCTGAGGATCTCCCAGCACCCCTCGGTTGTCGCCAAAGATAAACCCTGCTCCGTCTCCAGGAAGAGGCGGAGGTCCTGAGGGTCCAAACACTCTCTGTCCTTGGACAGTTGCACCAGTAAGAAGTAGACGTCGGGGCGAGTGCAGAGTTCGCAGTAGGCCTCCTGAAACTCCTCAAGCGTCACATGGGAGGTCAGCTTCTCTTTGCTGCGCTGGATCTCCTTAAAACGCAGACGTACCTGAGGAAAGAGAAACAAGGCGAGAGAGAGAGTCAGGGAGGATGCAGCAAGGACAGTGTAGTGAGAGAGAGATGAAGTGGGTGAGTTAGTCAGCCAGCGTTCATCCAGTGGCTCTGATAAAAGTTCAGTTATCTTGTGTAAATAAGGATATGAAAGTGACCCACATTAATCAAGGGTTATAATTTCCTCCAGTCTGACTTCCCTCCAACTTGTTTTTTTGGTCCGTTTCATCTTTTTCCTTTCATTTTATTTTGTTCTCTGCACAGGAGAATGGGTTCAGTTTGGGGTCCAGATTCAAGCTGCTAAAACACCCAGATTCATCCAACAAATCCCTTATCCAGAGCCAGGGAAACCATATTTGCAGCAGGGTCCTCATAGTGAACAGGGAACCAGTTTTCTGTTTAAATAGCTACAGTCCGACATGTTAAAGGAAGAACTTGTGTTATGTCTTGATAACTGGTGAAGGACAGGCGCTCGGCCTCTACCGGTGTTAAAGGTTACAAGTTCACCTTCAGGTAATGCTGAGTGCATGGTGCAAAACATCAGATATCAGTAACTAAATAAACTGTGACGGGGACCAGAATGTCCATGGATTATGTTTGATAGTCAATTACCATTGTTTCGATTAGTGTCAATGTCAGACTTGCTCAGTAACTGGTCCTTAAATCACAAAATAAAATCAATGGTGTTATTACAGTAATGTGATTAAGTATCTTTTGCTATACAAAAACAGTATCTGCATCCCCCACCAAACCAAATGCTTTGATAAGGAATTTGATATTTGACAAAATGCTGCCAACTCCCATCCCTAGTGTTCTCCCATCTCTGAGATCCCCTCACAGGCTGTCATTTCACCTGTCTGATTTCTAACTCAGATTTCTACGCTCTTGACGTTTCCAGGACAATTTTGTCACTCTGCTTCTGTGCTGCTCAGCAGGTGATACAAGGACTTGTGTGTGATTGCACACCAAAATCTAACAGCTATCTCTCGTCATGGGGGATTACTGTAAATGTTTTGTTGCTCCAAAATCGGACCACTGGATCAGGCAGCACACCACCACTGCTGAGCTGAACGAACATGTAGCATCACCTGCAGTTCTCACATACAGTCACGACGCAGATGGCGACAAGTTCAAGGAAAACACTGAGTAACTGAGTGTTCTCGTCCAGGATGACAGCCGCCATGCAGAAACACACAGTGGTGCACAGCTGATCATCTGATGCACACATCAAGGTCACCATCATATAATCTAGCCCATGTACAGCATTTATGTCTGCATGAAGCAAACATAAAGCTCTAATATCAGAAACACCCCTCACCTTGGCTTCCTTGATGCCGGGACACAGCTTACAGATGGTGGCGACTGCTATGTCCTCGGACACGATGCCGTAGCCATCTTCATCCACCTGGGCAAACCAATCACTGAGGGGTGCGCCAACAAGTAGCGAAGACCAGTCACCCAGATGTTGGCCACATCTGCGGACAATGCAATCAGGTCCAGAGACTGTAGGGAGAGAGAGACAATAATGGTGAGTGGGTGGTACTGCCTAGTTTTTAAACATGAATACAGTACAGTATCACTGAGTCATGTAAACAGAACTATGGAGCACCATTTCTTCTTCTTCTTCTCTTCTTCTCTTACCTGGTAGTCATCCCCATGTATGATAGAGAAGGCTGCTTCCTCAGCCAGGTGTTCAGAGAGAGGTCCATTATGGAGGAATGTCTCGGTGCTCTTCCCGGTGCGAACCTCCCGGATGCTGGAGACATCCAGCCGAGCCCGGTCCCCGTCCTTCTTAGACGGCTCCCAGCGCAAGCAGCTGAGGTCTGGGTCCAGGGTGTAGAAACGGCAGTACACCCTGGAGTTGGGCCGGATCTTCTTGAGTTCACATCCACCCTGCATGAAGGCCAGGCAGTCAGCTGCACTGCTCACCTGAGATGGAAAATCAACATGAACTTTACTGTTTATATTCTGTTACAAAAGTATGTTTGTTGACTTTTTCTTATGCATTTGCAATCTACCTTCTTCTCAGAGGGCATGCTACTGAAGGACACTGTCTTCTTCCTGCTTCCACTCACCTTCTGCACCGATGGGTCCTGGGAACAAACCAAGACAAATGGGTTAAAGTCAAAATGAGAAGACGTGTTTCTACATGTTCAGAGGAGTCGCCAGGGAACAGTCAAAAATACACTCAACATGTCAGGGTCACTCCGTTTTGCCTGCCCTCTCTCACCTCCACACACCTGCCAGCTATCCTTATCATCACCACCTGTTGTCTATCCTGCAATTACCCGCCTCCTATATCTACCCTGCCTTCAAACCGGTTCCAGACATCAGCTCCCCTTTTTGGACTATTAGCCTCCACACGGAGCTGTCATCCTCTGACCAACACCCATCGTTACCCCTCGGACTACATCATCCACCAGGTCGGTGCTCTCCTATCCTGTTTTCTACCTGCTCATCGTGTTCTTCTGCCACAACCATCTCTACCTTGACCAGCCAGTGAGTGACCCTCCTGCTCCACAGCTTTACATGTGTTTTGACACGGTATCACCATTGTAATCTGTACAGCACTATTAAACACTGTTTATGTTGAAATCAGCCATCTGAGTCCGCTTCCTCTGTCACACCACCTTGTGTGGCGTGCGGCCATAACACAACACTTATCTAAAGGTAGACATCACTCCATAGTTAGACAGAACTATAGACACTGCTTTATTCTTATATTTTACAGCTAAAACCTTCTTCATAATTTCCTAAAAATGTCCTGATATTTAGCTGTAAACTACTGGGATACCTTTAGAAAGTGTTAGTTGCTACAATTAAGTGTCCACTTTTTATATTCAAATAGAAAACACGAGGAACTGTGTGTTGATAGCCATGCATTAGATTAGTCAAGTACAGACAATGATATCGTTTCCTAGACAGACTGGCTACAGAATGTGCCACACTTTGTTTTACAGGTTTGGTTTGTAACAACTGCTAAGTTGGTGGAAATTAAGTTCTTTATTTATTCATATAAAATTTGAAACAAAACTAAAACATGTCATTGCAGCTAAAAACTACAGGTAAGTATGCAATTCAACTGACATGCATCATAATTAGCAATTAAATAATTAATTACCCAAAGTTACGATCAAAATGTACTAAATAATTTGCACTAATGCACACTGGATCATGCCCAGTGTTTCACAGTATATAAAACATAAATCTATAATGTGGGTTATTCTTGAATAAAATTCTTACTCATATTTCTGATCTTTTTTTAACTTTATAGTCTATTTAGCTCTTGTGCATAAATCCTCAGGTATTTTGTTTGATTCTGTGAATTGTGAAGTGGTTACTACAACACTGCAGTTCCCTTATTAGGATTCATGAAGTTTCCTTCCTTCCTTTCTTTCTAATGTGAAATAAGTGAAGTTACAATCAGTGTTCTCCACTTTACATTGCTGGTACACTGGTTTCCACACTTGAGGTTGTCTATATGTACAACAAAATCTGGACTCTATAGAAATGCTTTAATATCACATCCTTAAATTCTTGGTCTTGAGGGTAAATTGACTCAGTTCTGTTTGGGATCTGGGCCTTTGCAGCTTGGTTTCATTGCAGGAGCTGGTGCACTGTTGCTCTCCTTCTCTAAATGTGGACAGTCTGTTATTTTTCTCCAAGTCTTCCTGATCATCACATCTTTATTTAGCCTGGTGAGTTGGCTTATAGGAAGGGTGCTCACAGAAGTGTTTTTATCTGTAGGTTGTATTCATAGAAAAGAAGAGAGGTGACAAGGGCTCCATTATATTTATATCCTTTGCTCCATTTATATAGATCTAAACAGTAATTTTTCTGAAACTGTGCAGTGTAAAACTCTAGCATTATGCATGTTTGAAATGTGACTCAGTGGAAGAAGAGGAAAGTGCTGCCACTCTTCCATAAAACGCTCAGGCCTGACAAGTCTATTTATGCATGTGTGTGTGTGTATACATGTAAACTAAATATTTCCTTGTTTGGTGAAATAACTTTATGGACATCTTTGTATTTTGTCATCAATGTGGAAGAGCTCACTTTATGCTGTGATTTTAGCATTGTACTTCATATATGGCTTCAACAAGGTCAGATGTAAGACAAGAAAGAAGTGTGAGTGGATTTCTGTTTCTAACCACCTCCACTTTATCGTCAGTGCTTTTCTCCCACATTCAAGGTCACTCTTCTCTGAAGTCACTTCAGATATTGAAGGAAAACAGCCTTTACTGCAACTACAGCTCATTACTACAAATTTATCTGTACACTGTACTGCTTACTGGTGGAGGTTGCAGGAAAAGTGCTCACAGGAACTGTGGCCAGCTGTACACTGTACTGCTTACTGGTGGAGGCTGCAGGAACAGTGTTCACAGGAACTGTGGCCAGTTCTCTGCACCAAGCGCCACATGTAATTACTGCCAGCATCTCAGAGGAGAGCAGCGCAGCTCATTACAAATCAGTGAAGAGCCATTATCGAGGCCTTCACTGAGGAGCCCATGCTGTACCACTAATGAAAGCTAGCTTAACACTCACATTGGCTCAGCAAGCAGAGATGAAGCTGCCAGTCAACCTGTCAGTAGCTGCAGACACACAGAGGCAGGAGGCAGTTGCAGGGTTTGAGTGTATACTCTAAATGTGTGTGTGCACACTGTATGAAAAGACTACACTCTACCAGACACACACAGGACTGTCTTCTAAACAAACATTTGAATGGATGGGGTCGTTGGTTGGTGGTATAATCTTGAATCTCTGACACTTCTGCCAACAGTCACAACAGTTTCTTGTTGCAAAAATATAAAATAAGATATTTTGTCACCTTTTGACAAAAAAATACCTCCACATAATGATGATCTTTTGGTAAAGATAAACAGGGCTACAACTTATAACTGGAGCCTCAACTGATATACTGGGCCCATTTCATCAAGTCGATATCTGTGAAAAGGCATGACAATTTTAAACGTGCATTAACCAAGATTCTCCACATAACCCCAGTGACAGTGGGAAAGGACGTGGTGTGTCTCAACTACACCCCCATGACCCTCTGCTGCCTACAGTCCTCCTGTTATTCCAACTTCTCCACCCTGTGTTGTCAAAGTATGGTCTAAAGCTCTGGGCAGCTAAAAGTCTGAACCCATAGCTACCGTAGAAGGCACAGCAGAGGATGTACTTCCTGCTCCAGCTCAGGAAGTTCAACCTGCCCCAGGAGCTGCTGATACAGTTCTACAGAGGAATCATCGAGTCTGTTCTCTGCACCTCCATCACTGTCTGGTTTGGCTCAGCAAACAAACAGGACAAGTACAGACTTCAGCGGACAGTCAGGACTGCAGAAAAGGTCATTGGTGTGAGCCTGCCCTCCATGGAGGACCTGTACACCTCACGGGTCAAAAGGAGGGCGGAGAGGATCACTGCAGACCCCTCACACCCTGGACACAATCTGTTTGAACTCCTCCCCTCTGGACGGCGTTACAGGTCACTGTGCACCAAGACAACCAGGCACAGGGACAGTTTCTTCCTCCGGGCTGTCACTCTGATAAGGATAATCACCTTTATTGGCCAAGTATGTTACACACAAGGAATTTGTTTCCAGTACAGAACCGAGGTAGTCATCTGCAGTGCCAACTCAACTGATGGCTCTAAGCATCAGGGCAACAGGGTTCAGTGTCTTACCCAAGGACACTTCGACATGTGGACTGTAGGCACCGATATTTGAACCTTCAACCTTCTGGTTGGGAGACGACTGCTCTACCCACCACACTGCCACCTCCCCTGATGAACACTTGACCAACGACAGTATGACCCTCAGTGCAATACCTGTAAATATACATTGTACAGATTACACAGATCCATACAGGTCTCTAATTTAAGTGCTCTATCTTTATTCCTATTTATCTCGTTTCACAATGAGCATTCCTTTGTCTGTCTGCATTGTTTACTGTCTGTTTATACTGCTCATATTACATTGTTTGCACTGTTACTTGCCCCTTGCTTGGGGATATGTACATGCACATGGAGAGCCGATGTACCACAGTCAAATTCCTCGTGTGTCCAACACACCTGGCCAATAAAACTGCTTCTGATTCTAATAATGAACATTCAGTCGATTGTGAATATCATTATGATGTGATACGCAAATGTACAAAGTGAGTCATCATCAAACAAGCTGCTGGTTCCTAGGAGATCTATAAGAAAACCTCCCGTCACTCACAGTTGATCTTTTGTCCACAGAATATGAATAAACAAGGTTCTGCTCTGTCCTGTGATTAAATCTGACAACTTCCTACACATTGACAATCCACACACACGCACACAACTCAGTCCTTCACAGAGATTAATTCAGCAGCTTAATGTGTTATTTTGTGTTGCAATAAAGAGAAAAGAAGCTGTGTAAGTCAGGAACCAAAGCATACACTGTAGTACCTTTGCAGGACAGGAGGTTTGTGACAAGCTACAGTAACTTTCATGCCTGAAGTGTTATGTAAACACACAGGGTGGATTTGAAGCCTTGCAGGCCTTGGCTGTGGCAGCAGGGTCTGCTAGGTGAGACCTGAAGCCTTGAGGTCCTTCCAGATGTTTATGCAGAAATAAAAATCTGGTTACTGATACAGTATGTTGGTGTTTGTTGTAGCTGAGAAGTGGCTACACAGCAGCAGCCCCACGAGCCTCCACCCCTGCTGCCCCCCAGTACCAGAGATCGATTACCATTAGCTCCTGAGGGGTGTCGCAATATTTCAGATAATATATTTAAATCAATTAAATTGCTTAAAGCAATGAATTGTTAATTATTCTTTGTGAAAATAAGTTTACCTCCATGTGTTCTGACTCTTTGGGGGGAAAATGGCAAAAAAAAAAAAACAAGGAGGGCAAGACAAGCAGAACAATGGTTACCTTAAAGACTGAGAAAACAGGGGATGAGGTAGCAAAAAGAGAAACAGCTGAAAATAATCATTGCTTAATCCCAGTCTCAACATGTATTGATTTCCAATTCTAAAATTCCCACAGCTCCCAGTGCAGAGAGGCAGACAGGTCAGAGTTTCCAGTAAAGGCTGTTGCTCTGTGTTCACATAACGGTCCCACAAAATGT